TTAGAATCACTGAAAACTGTTTTCCAAAATTCGCAGCGGGTAGTGTACAGCATCGATTTCTGTGGAACCCAGTAGCTGTCAAAACTTTCACATTTTTACGAATAACTCGGAAATCGTAAATTTTTCAGGTAAAACGTTTGACACAAACTTAACTTAAATTTTGACGACAAATCTGAAAATGAATGAAAAAAGGGGCGGTTCCATTTAAAAAACCAAAGTTGGTAACTACCACACGTTTATGATACACCCCGCATATTGAAAAGTAATTTTAAAATGTGGACCTTTTAAACATGAAAAACTTTCGTAGGACGTATTTTCTTGTAAACTTCATATTTACTGAGATATCGCACTTTGACGCACTAATGAGCAACCCTGTATATATAACTATAGGGCTAAGTGTATTTTACGTGGTTTAGGCACGACTCGTTATGACCGGAACAAAATTTGAAGTTTCGAAAACAACTGCATGTTAATCATCCTGTATATTCCACATATTAGAAATTTGTATCCGGTGAGTTTAGTACACCCAATTTTAATTCGTTAGAGCCCATAATAGAGAGCTGCTACTATACTGGAAATTAACAACTTGTGACGAACTTTAATATATGGGTTTAATTAATTCTCAGTATCAAAACCCACAATATTTTCCCAAATATCAGGAAACGCATGACAAGTTCATTAGCAACGAGCAAATAGTGTTTCCACTGGTTAACATATTGAACAATTTAAAGGATATTTAATAGCATCAACTACACTTTAAAGAGGATATGTATTGAAACTGATTTAGTTGAGTTATAATTAAGTAGGGCGAGTGCAGTAGGCTTCCGCCCACTTAATTGTCGGTAAAACCGGAATATTCTTTATGTTCTTCAAATCAGAAGACGCACGTACCTGCTTTTTCGTATTCAACCCATAAATTACACGATCACAAAATTACACGTTTTTCATTTGTAGTTGTTATAGTGGCAGTAATTGTAGTAGGAAATAACTCTATTAATACCGTATAGTATTAAATACATGCAGATTTAATAATTTAATCAACTTTGAAACTCAATGCTTAATTCAGACAGAATGTCAGCAGTTCCAATTTATGATTCGTCATATTATAACTAACCGTGCCCTTGTCGTCTCCACAACATTTCAGTTATGCTGAGGGCAATTTCCTCTCAAATGATAGCAAAGTAACTAAATTGATTTTGATCGAAGTTAAATAACTTTGCTAAAATGTTTCAACAATTGGGAATTAAATTACACTGTATTTTCGTTTATTTCCAATCAGTTTGGGCAATAATTGCAAAACGTTTTAACTGAATAGATCTGACCATATTAAAGCGGACTTCACATACGCACCCATCTTTAATAACAATCTAAGCATTGTCTGTGTATTATCAGATAATTCTTCAGATTTCAACTACGGTTTTGTTATTACAGATATACGTTACACGATTGTGGATTTTCCAAATATTTTCGTGTGTGAGTGTTCAATGTAGCCTCTGTAGAAGGGATCAGGCGCAAAATAGAATAATGAGTAAAAACACCGTTCTGTGCCCTCGCTTAAATGAGATGTAAGCTGGAAGCTAACTGCTTTATTCAACCAATTCCAAACAGTTTTTTGCAAATTTCTCAGTTTTTAATAAAAATAATTTTTTACTATTTTTTCTGTACTTCCAAAACAGCACCAGATGATTGACGCCAATTTTTAATCACGTAATATATGTGTCGTCCAAATATATTGTAAATATGTATCTAAATTACGTAACATTTTGTCGCTTCACTAAGGGCATGAGTGCTATCCGCGTGCTCTTCTATAGCTTAATAGGCTTCGATAAACTACATAGGCATTAGTTTGCTAATAGTAGATATTAGTTTTTCTGAGTCTATATCTGAGTAAATATCAATATCTGAGAAAATATAACTTTTAACAAAGCGGTATATTAATTTTACGTTAGTTAAGACTTTCGCCAGTTAGCAATTTCAATATATTGTTGACAAGAAAGTAATTTTTGTAGCCCCTAATAGCAACAAATTCAACCAATTGTGATATTAGGTCATAGTTATTTTTAAAACTTTTCACCATTTAAGAAGTTTTCTAAACTTTGATCGACCGACTGACTAATCGATTGCAATAAGTTTGAAATGCGTATCTTAAATATTGATTCGTCGTGTTAGGTGAATGTTTTGCAATTATTGCGGAACCCAAATATCGAACCTTTTATCGAACCAACAAGTCAAAGACATCTTATATTAAACATATGAATTTAAATTGTTGTGTGTGATACATTTAGGTGTTTTGCAGCCTCTAGCATATTGATGTGAGAATTCGGTTAAATTGTGGCTTCCATTTTGGCATCATCAATCAATCAATCAGAGGTCGGCCAGGATGTTGCCTATATTTCAGAATGAAATGTTCTTAACGAAATTTTTGAAACCAGTTCTGACAGGTGCGAACTATTAAATAATCAACACCATAAACTGCGCATATCATTTTGTGAGGTTCAGCCACTTTCTTGCCTTTAGGAAAATGAAGAAGTAAACTGCGTAGCAACTGCTTATTCTTGCACATCCAGTTAAAACTGGTCGCAAACTAATTTCTAATCAAAATAACACGGAATTTGTTGAATTGAATGTGAAAGCTATCGACTACAAAATATTTTCTATTTATTTATTGTAGTCTAAGAGTGCAGATGTTTTTGCTCAGCCATCATATACCATTGCAATTGCACACTTACGTCAATCATCAAACTCATTAATCACTTGATTTTGATTGCTCTGATTGCGTCTGCAACTTGTAGCCACTTATTATTTATACAGCGTGTTTAAGCAGCTCCGATAATGGAAAAAGCCAGAATATGTGTGCGTTTGATAAATTTAACTAAAGTTGTCTCCAACAAATTGGAACATTTTTTTGGTGGTAGTTTATAACAAAACCAAAGCCTATAATCAAAAAATTTGTTGATTATAGTTTTGACCACAACTCATAAATCAAAATATTCCTTCTTGATATTAGCTTAATCTTGTTAGTTAAGATCTCTTATGTCATCATAATTTTTGATCCAAATCTGGCCAACAAAGGACATAACAAAAAAAACCGGATACTATTTCTTTGATCCTTATTTTTGCCTCCTGATAATGTGAAAGCAAAGTTTAACGTGTTTGGGCATCGTTTAACGCATTTCAAGAACATATAGATCATCATGTGGTTGAAATGAAATTTTCAAATTGAAATTTAATTTAATTGAAAATTGAAACTAATTGACTAAACTTCAATCTATAGTCCATGTTCCTTTAATTCCTTTTAATGAAAACAGCCGACTTTAATATAATAGAAAATTCAAGTAAACATTAGCTTAGATTATTAATATCTACTAACTGCTATGGAATGTGATCAACTGGAGAAGTAGCAACAACGTACTTTTTTAACTTAAGGTGAAAGAGAGGACATCTCTATCCAGAAAACTAGACTATTTCAGGGCAGAACATATTTTTATTAATACAGTGGAAAGATTGCGCAAAAAGTTGTTGTTTTTCA